TGAAAATATATTGTTTTTGAAAAAAATGATCTGAATGAGATAAATCAGAACAAAAATGTTTTTAAAAGTGGCAATGTGGCCATGATAGAAATGTTAACGAGTCATCTGGACAGTTGGCACTACACAATATTACGCGAAAATCCAGTTCTAATACATTCCATGTGTAATGTAAATGCCCAAAGCCTTCTTATTTTCTAGCATAAGTGCTTATGATGGGGTTTCTGAATTTTGCATCAATTTCAGTGTAACAAATCATTACCTTATGTTAGCATTACAATGATGCTAAAACCTGTGCTGCAGGCAGATGTAAGTGCAAAGTACAGCCACATTATGGTTTCCATTTAGAGATGGAGGTGAGTGGGAGGAGCAATTAAATAAACAATATTTCCAAGATAAATTTTTCCCATATGCCAGTGTAAGGCATTTTAGAGATCCACAGCAATACTCCAACAGAAAACATCCAGTGCAAAAGAACCGAACATGATCACACAAGAGATCCTTCTTGTTGAGCAACCTGTTCCCAACAGTTACCAGCCAGAACTTTCCAGGATGCCCACAAGCATGCTATGAAAGAAAAAAAAAAGAAAGAAAAAAACCAGTATTTAGATTCATTACAAAAAAGTCTTAACATTCCAGTGCCAGCAATCAGCAAGTGATCACATTCAAGAATGAGAACGTATAAAAATGCTTTTTTCTCATACCAGTCATCATATATATCGTTGCGGAGTTGGAATGCACATTTCTACTGTGATTACATTTTAAAACAACCAGGCAATAGAATGCAGGTTTCTAAATCCACCAAAATCAAGATTAAGCACCGAATGCTTTAAGTATCAAGTATCTATTTTCACACAGCAAACCAAAGATGAAAATACAATCTCACTACTTCTCAAAACTTTCACTAGCATATCTGTATTGCCTGAAAGTGATATTGCAATTTTTATTCAGTTACACAATTACATGCACACATGTATATATCTGTGTTATATACAAGCAATAGTGGCATAATTCACAAACTGAAGTCCTTATATAGAGTAATGTCAACCTTTGTCAATTTCTGCTTTTGTCAGGTCAACAATCATTTTTGAAAGGGCAGAACAAATTATGCATTTTACAACTGGGCATTCTTTCTGTGTTTTGACCATATTTCCACTGAAAATGTCTTCACATTTCATGAGATCCTTTCAGAGCAGTTTAACCGTATGGTTTGTTGGGTCTTTCTGACATGATTATGAAATATTTGATGATCAGAAACTGTTTGTCTCCTTTGACAATAAACATTGTAAAAAAATGAAAGCAGAAACAGAATGAGGTTGAATTTTTCAAATTTCACATATTTTGAAAAACTAAAATATTGACAGGAATTTTCTTGAGTCATCTACATGCAGGACCATTTTCATTCTTACCTCCCTGACTGGTACTACTGTAAAATACAGAGAAAGTAGCCTTGTATCTAAACAGGTATTAATGGTAATCAGGCAAACAGCAGAACTGCTCATTAAAAAAAAAAAAGCCATCAGAAGAACTTTCATCCCTTTTGCCTGAAACATCTTTAGCTTTCCCAGGAATGGGAGTCAGCGGTAGCTATCATGGTAACTCACTAGATGAGTAATGATGTCGATACGACTGGACAACGGTAACCGTAGCAACTGTAACCTGCAATTCCTGCGTAACCATTGTTGGATTTATTGTGGCAGGGGCCAAAGAGGCCAGGAGTAAAATGAAGCAGAGAACTATGGTGTCTGACACATCTAGTACCACACACTTTAATCATAGCTGGCAGAAATTAATTCAGGAGGAATTTTGCAAGAGTTCCCCATGCAGTTTTGTGCTTTTGTTATGGGCTATAGGAACCAATGTACTAAATGGGCAATCAAGAGTAACAATCATATTATGTTGCAAGCCTTTTTCTTCTGTCATTTAAAAAAGTCATTAAAAAGTAAAGTTCAGCTACAGGAAACAAGATAATAAATAAAATTTTATAATTTGCCCAATATTAATCTACAGATCAATTTCAAAGAGTGCCACTATACATTTCCTGATTAGCTAAAATTTAGCTGTCAAAAGAGTTATATTAAAGCATATAACTTTTGCATGCAGAATTGACTACTGTTTAGAAATATAGTATCTATAAAAGTACCCTCTTAAACCTCTGAGCTTTGGATGCAAAATTTGTACCCTGCAGCAAATGGTAATCGATGAACTGTGGCCTAACCAGTCAAATTAAGCAGTCAAAATCTATTTGCCTCAGATAAGCACTCACTAGGCTGTAATGGTTTCCTGCATTAAAGGTGATATTGCTGATGCTAGATGTATTAGCATGTGGGTCAGTAGAGATGCATGCCATTCCAAGAAAGAAAGAAAAAACTTGTTGAGCAAGGAACAGACAAGCAGTAAAACCATTACTATCCTGGGCTTTACAATGGCTGCTTCACTTCAATACTGCTCTAAAAATATATATTGTATAACCTACTGAAATTTCTAAGGAACATGGCACAACTTAATATTATAACAGCATTTTAAAAATTATTGCCACCATGAGTTTGAATGATGGATTAAGTCTGAAGCAAGAATGCTATAAAATTATACTGCAAATTCTGGAGTAATGCTTACAAGAAACATTTAAAAATATTTAAACCAACTAAGAAATACAATGATATTTGCCAAAAACAAGGAAGTTATTTGGTCAGTAAAGAAACAACAGGTATTCTCTCTTGAACACTCATAGCCTATCACTTCCCTTTACTTACACTTTCCATCTGTCATCAAGTGCTTGTAATTTTATGATGTGGTTCTGTAACTTATGTAGAGTTGATATTATTTTTCACCCTACTGTTAATGCATTAGATAAATAGTAATGCTATTAAAACTAGTCTCCTGTTCCCAAACACAGCTGCAACTGTACTTCTGCTTCTGAGCAAACATCTTGACCAGAACATGCAGTATGCTCTCTGTTCAGCAATAGAGAAATTGGAGCAAACAGCAAAAGGGCAAGTACAGTGGGCACCAGTGGCATTCAACCATGCCTAGTATTTCATATATAGTGTGCCCTATTTATGTTGCACTCAAACTGTACAAGGACATGTGCTTCTTTAACTAGCATCTCATTTAACTTTAGATATAAGATAGTTAATACATAGAAGTACATGGGTAAATTTAATCAGTTTCAAAGGCTCACAGTACACATACGCAATAGGAGCAAAATGCTGATTCACTAAACAAAAAAAAACCTATATCACCTTGGCAATCTATGCATGATATAAAACATAAAAGTTTTCAAAAAGAAATGTTTCTAGATATATACATAAATAATTCTATTACATTTACTAAACTGCTTTAATACATATTTTAACCAGATACAAACTGTAATAGTGTGATCAACAATAACTTACAGGTACTATAAGCATTCAACTATCTGGCCATCTAAGTCCTTCAGTCACTATTACATGAAGAGAATCCAACATTCATGAGGCTGTAGTAATATGTACAGCAGGTACAATGAAACTACAGTTTTAGGCTATTTTAATTTTTTGATACTATACAAATATAAGTAGCAACTATAGTGTCTGTTATTGACACAATGCAGAAATGGAAAGCTCTGTTTAATTTACAGAAGTAGAAATGTAGCTACAAGCACAAGTTAGACAAACTGTAGTATCACTAGCATATAATAATTCTACCTGTATTTAAATATAATGGGAGTGCATGATACACTAACTTGGTAAATTAAAATGCCCTTTCATTTGATTTCATTAGAAGGATCACCACAGCTAACCAGTAAACTTCTCATGAAAGCAGCAGCATGCATGGTTACAAAAAACCAATCCTATGGACTTCTATTATCCCAGATAAGTGCAAATGGTATTCAAATAACACACACTGCAAGCTAAACTCACAGTTTAAAATCAAAGTATTAGAACCAAGCTTAATTTCATTGTCAAAACAGCTAGAAACTAACATCAATAAATGTACTTTGTGACAGAAGATCTACTAGTGTAGTAATTCACTATGAACCTTAAACTTTGTATCTTGCCTAAAATAGTATTGGATATAGTCAAAAATTCTAGGTATGTCAATATAAAATCCATTCCATATTAATCTTGCAATGATAAATATCTGGCCTGCAAAACTGTCCAGAATTGACTAACTTTGATTAGGTATTTTTAAATGTGATTCCCTTTAAGGTATTTGTATTTTAGTCTGGCAAGACTTTAAAGCATATCCCAACCTGGTGCTTGCACATCCATGCTGATTATGAATAGCAGGAGTTATAGTCCAACAAAGGCTGCCTTAAAAAGACTGGACATGATCCAAAGAACTGTTCATTGGGCATGCATAACCCAGTTCTGGGGCTCCCCCTGCCCCCTGCAAGCAACAGACTCTTCATGCCATCATCATGAAATGTTTGAGGTTTCCATACTCCTCTGCAAAAAGGGAATCTTTGAAATACACAAGGCCAACATCCTGTTAGATCAGGGTTAGACAGAATTTAAAACACTTAGCATCAGAAACTTTGAACAGCTCACTACTCTAATTTTTAAATTCCAGCCTTACATGGAGAATATAATTCTAAAATGTAGGAACCACAATTACAGACTTCAAGACTGCCAATATTCTTCAATCTACTACTTCAGCTTTTGGTTCTTCAGATCATTTCCTTCCTATATTACTGTAAACAAGGAGGAAAGAAGTAACACTCATTCCATTCAGAATGTAATCCATCCCATTATCAGAAAACAGCTGCAAATAAGGAATTAAAAATTCAAATTTCCACCAACCCGGTTTCAAAGTTTCAGTCAAAAACAACAGTGAAAAATATAGAACAAGGCAGAAGCAATTTAGAGGAAAGCACAAATCATCATCTATAAGGAAAAACAAAAATAAGAATTAAAGGTACGTGGCCTCTAGGAACACACAAAGGACATATTTATTTATAACTCAGAAGTGCTGAGGAACATCTCAAAGATTGCCAATACTAGAATGGAATTGTATCTACTTACAGTCTGTAGAGTTTTGGAGTCCCAAGAAAGAGTAACTCAGAGAGAAGCTGAAGATTATTTCTGTTTAGGCGCCTTCGGTAGGGGGAAAAAAAGAGAAGAGTTACTAATCAAATTATCAAAATGATTATGAAAGCTACCATGATACGTCAGAACTAGCCATCTTAGTACTAAGGAGGCATGCAGGAGAAGCAGACAGCTTTACTGCCAGGGGCCACATAGAACAAAAGCTAGAAAACTGTGGCTAATTTAACATTTTATTTATTCATATTAACATAAAGTATGTATGCATGTGTTCACTTGCAACATTTTTGTACTCCCCATATCAAAAAGAAATGTTTGACAGTGTAAGAAGTGAGCAAAGAGACCACCTACTGGCAGGGTTTTACAATAACTTCCCATGAGAGACAGGCAATTGTTTAAAAGAACCATCAGACATATTATAGCAGTTCATCCTTCTACAAGGAGCACTGCCAATTAAACTGACATGAGCCATTACAAACCAAACCTTTCAAATAGCTTTATAAAATAGAAGGAAAATCCTTCCTATCAGGATTGACAGGAAATGGAAAAGCCAACATGCATATTTCAAAGACACAAGCATACTGTTTGTCCTTCACAGTGCCCTTGTAGAGTCTGGCCACTAGGGCAGGCCTAGTAGGTGAACCCACACATTAAATACCCAGCATTCAGCTGGCCATTTAATTACTGTAACAGAAGTATACTAAGCCTTCATCTAGAGTAGGATCACTACACACAAGAAAAGAAAATGTACACCCTACCTGTTGCTTTTTGAAAATACCCTCACCCAAGCATCCCAAGTATATGGGTTAAAAACCCAACTATTTATTGGCATAAATGGAGGTTTCCCCATTTTAACTTCTCCTCTCTGCACTCAGCAGTTTCAATTTAGATCAGAGCTCCATATACACTTAATGCAGAGTAAGTAAGAGGGTCAACTACATGCTATGTATTTAAATTAATGTGCATTTTTCACCTTATCTCTCTCCTCAGCAGTGTCATTCCCTCCTGTCCACAGGTTTATAAAATAATGCATTCATTAACACTGTTGTGATGGATGCTAAACCTATCCCAACAAGCTCTAAGAATCTGGAGTCAAGCTCCAATCTCAAACTGATATTCATTTAGTTCATCATACTGAATGTTGTAGGAACTACCAAGAACTTAATGTCCCTGGACGTGCCAGTTTGCTCTGGAATCCATTTTTTGTTCCTGCTGCCATGTGATCAAACTAATATTTCCAGGAATGAATATTTTACTAACTTCCTTGGTCACTTTTTTTTTTCATTTTCTTGGTAAGGAAAATTTCTGTTGAATACCAAGTGACAAAGGTTGCTAATTTACTTTAACTTTTCAAAATGGAAAGACAAAACTTAGTGTAAAGATCTGAGTAAAGATGAAAACCAACCAACAATTTTGATAAGTCACAACTTTAAATAGGCCAGATTTTGCACAATATGCTGGATTACACCAACTAAATCCAAGGTAGGAGGAGGCTCTAAACTGAAGTCCAAATAGCTTCAAAGTAAGGAATGTTAAATTGATTCAGTTAAGAGGTGAGATGACAAACAACTTTTGTTCCTATACAGTTCTCACAACCCAATAGTTGAAGTTCTCTGGGCTGTTCACAAAAGCTACCAACACATTAGGATCATGATCACTTTGAAAAGAACAAAAATTAAAGACTTTAAAGTAGAATGCTCCCTTACTGCAACTGTTAAGATAAGAACTTTTCTCATGATTGTTCCTTCAAAAAGCATTCTGTTCAGGCAGCACAAGCACAAGATTCAGAAGAGGCACCCTACAGTCAGTCAAATAATAATCATGTTACATGCTGCCTGAAGTAGTAAAATGTCTCAGTGGCAGCACTACACAGTTTTGTTTTCTCCAGATGATAAAATGTTTAAGCTCACTTTGTAATATTTGGTGGTTTCTTTGCTTGTTTGTTTACACAAACATACAAGTAGAACATGATGGAAGCAAATACACTTATATAAGCAGACAGAGAGGCTGCTAATCCTGCACCAGATTCAGTTAACACCAGCCAAAACAGCCAGCACTGTCTCGCTCCCCTGCCTCCCCAATTCTTTCTCCATTCATACTGAATAACTGGTTCTAAACTGACTCCCTGTTTTCCCCTTAGCTAGAAGCAGTACCCAAAGCTCTAGAGTTATTACATTCCAGAGACTGAAGAGAGATTTCCAGTTATGATGTTTACTTTGTTATCATCATAATCAAGACACAAATATAAATATGAATATCACCTAACATTTAAACAGCATGTTAAGCTGTAGTACTTTAAATACTCTGAAGTACTTCACACAAGCATCTCCATTAATCCTTAGAACAGTCCTTATTTAAAAGTGTTTATCATCCTACTTTTCTATTTCTTTTCTATTCAGAATCTTCAGTGAACTACAATCAGATCTCATCAGGACAGAATTTTTAAACAACGTATGAAAGGAAAAAAGCAACAACTTAGAACATACCAATGATTCCAAAGGATAATACAGCAGCTTCAGAATATTGTATTGTGTGAGCGGGGGGATATCCTGACAGATTTCCAACTTACAATACTGTAAAAATGGCAAGTTTACAAAAAAAAATATCCGCCATGGCTCTGATACTCATAATTTCACTCTCAACCTGAGTGTCCATCACCTGTACAATGTGACTATTGTTTAGCTACTCTGACCAAGTCTTTGTGCAGCTCTGATTAGCTTTAGCATTTGGTCTATTCTAAAGCTGATCTACTCAAATGTACCTTTGGGAGAGGGGGTACACAAGGTGTGTACCCAGATCCATCCCTTGAATGACTACTGTTAATCTGGATATTTTCCCTTCTGCCACTATTTTGCACTTGTTTCTGGTTGGTAGACCTCTGCATTCTAGCAAAAAAATCCCAACCCCTGACATCTGGCACCCAACCCCTGCTGTATGGCACTGATCAGCTAATAAACCTATCAACCTGCAGCTTAAAGAGATAGGGTGAGGGGAACTCACTTTACAGCAAGGAAGGCCCTGTCCCTTATGTCTATTAAATGCACTTTGTAAACAAATTTAGACACACTTTTATGGGAATATTTATTTTAATTCACAGATTAGCAATGAATAGGACAGAACAAATCTAGGGTGAGATGTGTGCAAACATGACATAACTGGAAACTGACTGATGCACCTATCCCTAGAAAAGCAGGCATATTGGGCAGGCTTATTTGCATACATTTCCATTTCTTTTGAACTGCTTGGGGGTTTGAAAATCAGTTGAGACTAGTTATTTTCAGCAGGCCAAGACTGTTCAGCAAGGATAAGCCATTTGGGGAGGCTATATGATTAAGACCCAATTTAAATATACTGCTGAACAGCCTGCTGTTTTAAAAACAACTTACTATATAAGGGTTCCACATCTTCAGTGTCACATTTACATTTTATTACAATTCTAGTTCTTTCTTCTTATGCCAGGAATCCTTACCTCAGGTATATGCATCAGTCACATAGAATCTTATTTTGGTGGTTTAAATAATGCCCACATTTAACAATGCCTATTTTTTCATACAAGACAATTCACCATCTAACATGTATTACACTGCCCTTGCCCAGTTGGTATTTATACAGCTTAAGGCTTACACAGCTATCCACTGACAAATATTAAAAACCTTCAGAGGGGAATTACATTTAAAGGGGTATGATGTTTATCAGCAGTGAACAGCATAATTCTAGCAGAGTAATGGAGTTGGCTTTTAATGAAAGAATGGGCATCCCATTTGATGTATTTTGAACCAGTATACTGAAGTACAAAAAGATGTCCTTCCTTAAGGATCACCATGGTAGTGAATGATTTGCACTTCTGCAGATGCAAAAGCATGCAACAGGCTTTTAACAAGAATTTAGCTGTGTAATAGTTCAAAGCTCTGAGTGGTTCACAACTACTCATAAAAAAACATAGGCCAAAAATACAATAAATTGCAGTATTACACTCTTCCAATATACAATATTTTAAAAGCATTTAAAGATGTGAAACAATTTCAGTACAAACTAGACCTAAACAGTTGACATAAATACCCCAATGCAGTATTGTTCTCAGGGAATATTGCTGTTTGTTTAAAGAGTGCCACACTGAAAAATCAAAGAAAGCTATTTTCCCCCTAAAAAAAAAAAAAATCTAAGAGCACTTCCTGTCCTAGTAGCACCCTAGCACAAAACAGCTGCTCAGATGAACCTCTTCATTGTGCTAAAGGACCAGTAATGAGAAGAGGCCTTAAGTTGTTCACCATAACCAGCTGTTGATATGCCTGAAGACAGTCAGACTCCCAAATGACAAACCATCAAATGGCCATACTGGAGGGCTTATCAGCACTCTAGCATACTAGCTGAAAGGTTGGTTTTGTTTAATTTTCACATTTTAGACGCATGAAGTCCATTCATGCACAGGCAAAATGTTTTATCAGCAGCCTTCCTCTTAACACCAGTTTCTTCACAGATGCTGGGCTTTCTTCTCTATGCCAATCAATGAACTTTTTGAGTTTTTCCACAGGGGTTGTATGTGTGCCCTTTAAAACTGTTTTCAGGTAACCACATGGCTTTTGTCTTTAATTGTTCTGCTCATCTTGTTTCGTGTCATGTGAGATTCAAAGCTATGATCTATAGGTTCAGAAAGTATTTTGGCAGCTGACTACTTCAATTTCAATCCCCAATTTCAGCCCCTTTTCCCTAAGTTCCCTTGCCTTCTAGTTCAGAGGGAAAGTCACTTAAACAAATTACTGCCAAATCAAGTTCCCTTCCTTTTGGAAATGCAGCTCCTTCTGAAACATTATTTTTGGCAAACCACTGACCACAACTGTCTGTCTTCAATCAACAGTTTGGTAGAAACAATTTAGAAATACAAAAACAAAGAGGAAACTGAGCAAATCCAGATATCAGACAGAAAAAAGGTAAATTCCTTTTCCTAAAAAAAAAAAAAAAAGGCATGGAAGAGAGAGGAAGCAGTCTCTAGTCCACTCTTATAGGTGGTATAATTGAAAACAACAGGATTGTTATTTCTCCTTTTGTCCATC